TGGGGTGTCACCCCCCTCTCTGCTGTGTTCCAGATATCGATGAGTGTGGCACAGAAATGGGCCGCTGTCCCTCCAACACCTACTGCTTCAACACTGACGGCTCGTATGACTGCAGAGGTAGGCACTGGCTCGTCTCCAGCCCCAGCCCAGGGGCCCGCCTGCCCGTGTGACTGACCGCTCCTCTCCTGCGTCCCCAGGCTGCGACAAGGCGTGTGTGGGCTGCATGGGCGGCGGGCCGGGCCGCTGCAAGAAGTGTGCCAGGGGGTACCGGCTGGCTGGGGCCAAGTGCCTGGGTGAGTCCCTCTCCGGGTCCCTGCTGCTGCCTGCAGGAAAGAGCCCAAAAGACCATCATTCAGCCCATCTGGCCTGCTTGGAAGTTAGTGGATAATTGACCCAGGATCATCTCACCCAGCTGTTTCTTGAAAGGAACCTGGGTATCGGCGTCTGGGCAGCTTGTCCCACACTCCCACCACTCTCTGTGTAGAGAAGCGCCTGTTCTCAGATGTGAATGCACTTGCACTGTTCTGGCCCCAGGGGGCGCTGTTGTCTTCAGTCCCACTCCAGCTGCGTGCTGTCCCGGGCTTGTCTGGAGCTCGGTCCTCTGCTCCTGTCCGGACTGGCACAGGGCTGCAGTCCCGCCCACTCCCACAGCAGACTTCTGAGCCACAGTGACCCCTGTGAGCAGACACGGGGGACGCTCGACCTCTGACCTCTGACCCCTGGCGGAGCTGCAGCAGGTGTTCCCTCTTCCTGTGCGTGTCCTCATCCCTCTTTTTCCCAATTCCTGCCCTGCCATCCACTCAGACGTGGACGAGTGCGAGGAGCGGGGTGTGGTGGCGTGCCCTGGCCTTAACGAGGCGTGCGTTAACGAGGAGGGGTCCTTCCGCTGTGTGTGCGCCGACGGCTTCGTGCGCAAGGACACCATCTGTGTGGAGAGCCTGCCCCCCTGTGAGTGGCCCTGCCTTTCTGCAACTGCACACAACATACACCTGCACACAACACAGAGCTCACACTGCACTGCTACACAGCTGCACACAACACACATGCTCACACTGCACTGCCACACAGCTGTACACAACACACAGGCTCACACTGCACTCCTACACAACTGAACACAACACACAGGCTCAACCTGCACTGCCACACAACTGCACACAACACACAGGCTCACACTGCACT